ACAACATCAGGACCTGATCTATGCTGAGGTCACTAGAAAGTCTCCTTTGAGCTGAGTTCTGCATCGTGAGTCAGAGTTAACCCGCCAAGGAAAGGGCAGGGTTCCAGGCAGAGGCAGCAGCAAGTTCAAACACGCTGCAGCAGGAGAGGTTGGCCGTAGGGCATCTGGAATGTCCCATGACTTCCCAGCCACATGCTGAAGTTTGGATCAGTTTGCAGAAACTACGAGTGCAGTAGGGTTCATGCCAGCATCTTTTGTATGCTCTTTGTCCTTCTGACCAAAAATATATGTTTAAGTCTTATCTGCATTTTTCTTCTAGTTATAATTGTTGAATATAAGAAGGCAAAGGAGAAAAAAATAAGAAGAAAAGACAAAACCACGCATATCTTGGAAGTAAAATGGTAAGTCGTAATTTGTCTGCTTCGTCTCCAGGTAGGAAAGAAGTCCATAGGGTTTAACTGTGGTTATGAGGTTTGCAGAGGTGAGAAACATTCATTTTTATCGATCTCTTAATGTGTACAATTTCAGCCTCGTCTGTAATCTTCCACAGCGGAATAATACTTACAGCTTCCTTTTGTTTTCTTTCCATTAGTGGCAGCTGTTTTTCTACAGTTACTTTATTCAAATAATTAACACGGCGATTTATTTCATCTTGGTGGCCTGGAGCAACCACTCTAAGGGCACAAATTTTTACTCCAAACAAATACACAGACCACAGAAAGCGAATCACACTACATTTCCTTCTTTTCAGTCTCCTGAAGTCAGGTAAGACCAATTCTGGGGACCATCCACTCCTGAACAAAAAGGTTTTACAGCTAACAATAATCTGCATAAACTATTAACCCTTTAAGCCCATTTGGCTAGCCAATTGCAGTGGCTCACGCCTGTAATCCCAGCACTCTGGGAGACTGAGGCAGGTGGATCACTTGAGCTCAGAAGTTCGAGACCTGCCTGAGCAAGAGTGAGACCCCGTCTCTACTAAAAATAGAAAAAAATTAGCCAGGTGTGTGGTGCACGCCTGTAGTCCCAGCTGCTCGGGAGGCTGAGGCAGGAGGATCGCTTGAGCCCAGGAGTTTGAGGTTGCCTTGAGCTACAATGATGCCACTGTACTCTACTCAGAGCAACAGAAACGCTGTCTCAAAACAAAAAAGACCATCTGCCTCAATTGGCTATTTTTTTCTCAGAATACATCCAGTGAGCTAAATGTGTACATGTTCACGTCTCAGCCAATGAGGAAGGCTAAAGAGGAGTGACGCTGAAAGATGCAGTCACCCAAGCTCTCTGCTGTCAGCTCCTAAGAGGAGGGTATTGTATTGTCAAGAAAATACTTTCAATCTTAGCTGAGACTAAGTTGCTAAGCAAGCCAGACTTCAGGATTCAGAAAATCTACTCTGGACAACAAATCTTAAACTTACAATGGTCCTAATTAAGGACTAGTGAGTTAGATTGAGTGTTTAGAGGCCAATATTTTTTTTTATTTTAAATAAAGAACATTTGTTCAGTGTGATGCTGCCAACAGGATTTTACTCATTGTACTGGTCTCTCTTTTACAACTCTGCCCAAGTAAACCAGCCAAATCCCTGTAGTCCGTTCCAGAACCACACTGGGAACACCAGCATGAATTGATAATAAGTCTGAATTACACAATAATTTGTAAATAGCACTCCCTTAACTGCCAACAAGAACTTGCTAAAACACTAATGGCTGGCCAGGTGTGGCCTAGAAAAAGCAGTTGACTCTCAAGGCAGAGGCTGATGTCCAGCACATCCAAGCGGACACGGTTTAGCAGTCAGGTGCCCTGGATTCTCATCTTCTTGTTGTTCATTCTGCGTGGGCTCCTGTAAATCGGTTGGTCTTTTTATTCCTCTATTTTCTCATCTTTAAAATGAGCACAATATGCTAATGACCTTTATACCCTTTCTGACTCCAAAATTCTAATTTTACATCTCTAAATCATTTCAAGTGGCACGTGGTCTCTACATAAACTGATCCTGCTAAATGGAGTCTAATAAACTTTCAAGTTTATTTGCTTAAGTAGGTTAAACATCCCCACATTAGGAGCTCTGAATCATGTTCTCCCTTTTAATTTTCTCATAAATAGCACAAAAGTAAGTTGCAACCCAGTTTTGCCTGCAATATCATAAAATCTAAATTAGTTGAATTTAAATTGGTGAAGTATGCATTAGATTAAAACCTAATGTCAAGTAATCGTACATGTTCTATCTGGGGTCCTTGTCTCTTTCTCTACACCATCTGCCCAGGAATTCGTAAATTGCCCAAGCTTCCATAGATATTCACAACGCTTGAAAGTCCAGACAGGTTCTCCCCCGAGCGCCACATGGATACTTAATACTAATAACTAGTAACCACTAGTAACCATTACTAATAACTAGTAATACTAGTAACCACTCACTGAGGGCCTCTTACAAGTCTCAGTCATCTTAACAACATGGTCTCTACCTTTGTGACATTCCCGCAAAGTGGACATCGTTATCTCCATGGTATAGTTGGAGATGAAAGTGTGATCAAAGTCACTCAGTTGGTCGTGGCCAAAGCCATGACTTGAGTCCAAGTCTTGCTGGTGCAGAGATCTGTGCTCTTTTTTTCACTGTTCCACAGCATGAACAACATCAACAGAAAGGCAGGCTATTGAATCATGACAGCTGGTCCCTGTCGGAGTTTCTTGGCATAGGGAGAGACAGGCAGGGGGGAGGCTGTAGCACAGTGAGGACGAGGTGCGGAGTCTGAGGTCCGCGGAGTGCAGGGGACTCCAGCAGGCAGTTCTGGGCAGGGATGGAACAGCTTCGTGGGCCGGAACAAAGAAAGCTACTGCCACGAAACATGACAGTGTTGTCAAAGGGTTTCAGCGGGGACCAGGGTGTGATGTTTATCATCACTTTCATATTTTAGGGAAAACATCCCGGAAATAACTTTAAGAATAGTTTAGAAGGAAGTAAAAGAGAGATCGGAAGTATGAAGATCATTAAAGAAACTATTCTAACGCTCCAGGTGAGAGGAGATTCAGGCCTGAACGTGGACAGTGTCAGAAGGAAGGGATAAAGGATTGATAACCTGGTGCACAATTAAACTGGGAAAGTGGCTAAGGATGAGGTTATGTCAACCCCAGAGCAGCTCTGAACTGTCTTTCTCTTGCTTCTCGTGGAGCATGCCCCTCTGGCACACCCCGCGCAGAGCCTGCCACCTCGTGCAGAAAGCCGCTGCTCTGGATGGTCCTGACGTCCACCAGAACCAAGATATGCAAAAACAGAATGTCTGGGTCACATTGAGTTCCTTACCTATGTATCTCTTCTCTATTTTTAAGAGTCTACAGTACATGATTCCCTCTCACTGGAAGTCTGTGTCTTCAGACCGCCGGTAGGAAAGAAATTGCCATTAAGGAATACAGAAAATGCACAACTGCCAAGACAGTCTTGGAGTATCCTACTGCAAATGTGAGTCTGTGATCTCGTCAAAGAGAGGTTTATCTCCATGAAAATGACGAAACGTCTAGGTTGGTGTGAGCTCACATCTGTCTGACTCCTGAGCCTGACTTCAGCCTCCAGCTCCACCTCCGCATGCATGCGCCAGACGTAGCTCAAACTCTGCACCCGAGCTTCTCAGCCGCCCAACTCCAAGCACCCCCTGCCTTGCACCTGGACTCTTACAGTCATCCCCTACCTGGTCCCCTCACGTGCACCTGGCCCCTGACCCCGGATCATTCTCAACACAGCAACCCCCAAAGCTTTTAAAGCCTAACTTGGATTATTCCACTCTTCTGCTCAAATGCCCCCTGGCACCGTGGTCAAAGCAATCCCTCCCACAGCCGGTACAACCTTGGATACCCCTGTAGCCTGTGGTCACGGACCCCATCTCCTCCTGCTGCCTTCTCCTCGCTGCTCCTGCCTCATTGTCCTCCTCCTCCCACTCACACGCACCAGGCACACGCCAACTCAAGGCTGTGCACAGGCTTTTCCCTCTACCCAGAACGCTCTTGCCCCAGACACCTGTAAGTCTCACTCCCTCACCTCCCCCCCCCCGGGATTTTGTCCAAATTTCTCCTCCACAGTGAATTGTATCCTAATCCCCCTTGTGGAAAATTGCAAACCTCCCTCTTTCCCTGTGCCACACTCAGATGCCCTCCTCAACACACTTACACTGCTTCCTGTTTCTCCGTAGAGTTACTGTGCCCTAACATGCTGCTGCAGGTTGAATCAAGCTCCCCTAAAAGACAGTGGATTGTCCCTCACAGTCTCCGCGAGAAACCAACCCTGCCGACACTTTGACCTTGGACTTCCAGATTCTAGAACTATGAGACAATAAACTTCTGTTGTCTAAGCTACCTAGTTTGTTATGTCAGCCCTAGCAAATTAAAACATATGCTATGTACATAATTTGCCTGTTTTTTATGTTTATTATCTGTCTTCACCCTACCCTACCTCCCACCTCTGAAGGTAAGCTCCCCATACACAGGGATTTGTTTGTTCATTTTTGCTGTTATATCTCCAGCACTAAATTTTGTTGAATGAATCAACAATAAATGTGCCTCAGTTCATATTTCTAGCATTTTCTCCCACCTCTCCCCAAGACAAACTTGTTTCAACTTTTACCCCAAATACCACGGACTTTGATACCTTCTTAGCTTTGCTGGTTTCCTCTGCCTAAAATGCCCACCTACCCGTTTCCACCTGTTAGGGTCTCCTTATCATTTAAGATACATCCATGTCATTCCTTCAGTGATTAATCCCCTTCCCTCCCCACTACTGTTTTATTTTCCCTTAGTTGTGTTTCTCTGCCTGTAAAAAGTGACCTCCTTGGAGCTTAATCAAGATGGCGGATGAGAAACACCACCAGACAGAGTGTCTCTGCAGAAAACACAGATTCTAGGAGAAATCAGTAAAAAGAAGCAAGAAGACAAGCATACATAGGACGAGGGTTGAAAGGAGGGGTACCTGAGACCACCAGAAACTCCACGGGAGAAGGTTGCAGAGGAGAACTGGAAGCAGAGACCTCCGGAGCAGCCTAGAGACCAGCGGCAAGGGTAGGTGGAGTAGTTAACTTTCCCCTCCCCTGCATCTCGGACTGCTGGTGGGCTCCCCAGCAGTTGAAGAGACCTGCAGACACCAGCCCAGAGACAGCCACTGCCAGTGAGCGGTAAGCCTATAGCGGACGCAGCACCAGGCTCCCAACTCCTGTGGGGCACCTCCCTGTGCACAGGCTCCAGCCACACAAAGGCGCCATATTGCCTCATTCTCCCTCCCCCAACCCTATCCGAGGCTGCTGAGAGAGACAGTAGAGCCACCCGCCTGAGGCACCTCTAGGGAATGGGACCTTCCCTTTTGGGGCCCTACAGCTGACTGAGGGGAACTCAGACGGTGAGCTCCCTACCAGCAAGCCCTCCCAGGGGCTACTGGCCTTGTGATCCAGGAAAATGGGGCAGACCTTGAGGCTGAGAGACATCAACCAAGCTTGGGCTACCCGCAGGTGAATTGGGACTAGAACTCCTCTCCCTGTTGGGAATAGGGATTGAACTCTAGGGCCCTGAGGTCAGACCTGCAGACCAGAACCCATGCACTCAGGTCTCGCATTGCCGGGGCACAGAAGGGATATACATGAACAGCCTACTGAGGTGTGTGTGCCTTCAGGGGTAGATCAGTGTCCTAGAGGGCAACCCTCCTCCCAAAGGCATGGGCCCAGCCCAGGCAGTGATCCTGCTCAGGGAACCTCCAAGCCAGCATCACAGCCAGGGGAGGCCTGGTGGCATGAGGTCTGGCCTGCTGGCAGAGGCCCAGGAGTAGCTGCAGCGTTGGGGAGGGTGGAAAGAAGTGAGGCCCACTCCAGACTGTGGGTGTCAGACAGCCCCACCCCCACATGCAGACTTTCTGATTGAGTAAGGCCATTCCAGCCCCTCCCTGACAGCTTTTCCCAGAAGCAGACAACAGAACTTTGACCCCTGCTAACAGCATTTGTGGTGCCTGAGGGCAGGCTTACCCAACCAAGCTCTGCCCAGACTCACTCCAAGACCAGCCCTCACTGAGGTGGAGAATAAGGACACACCAGGAATTCTCAGGGCCCCACCCACCAGCTGAGGCACTAGAGTGCCTTTCCAGAGGAACAAGGGCTGGTTACAGGACACAAAAACAACAGTGTATCCTGTTCCTCCAACCAAGTTCCACCTACTGACAGGACATTCTGCACACCCTTTTCATGGCACCTACTGACTGATCATACAGGGTGTGGTTGAATCTCACCCACAAACACCACCTACAGGCTCAGAGACTAAACAAGGCATGTCAATACCCAAACAAAAACCTAAAGGAAAAGCAACAACTGATCAAGATGGAAAGAAATCAGCAAAGGAACTCTAGAAATATGAAGAATCAAACAGAAACCACACCCACAAAGAGGAGCACCAGCCCCTTAGAAATAGACACAAACCAAAATCAGGCAACCAAAATGACAGAAGAGAAATTTTGAATGTGGATCATAAGAAAATTCAATGACCTGCAAGAACAACTGGATAACCAATACAAAGAAAACAAAAAAAGACTCCAGGACCTGGAACAAAAATTCACTAAAGAAATTGATACAATGAAGAAAAGTTTAACTGAACTCCTGAAAATCAAGAATCAATTCAAGGAACTACAAATACAGTGGAAAGCATCAAGAAGAGGGTAGATCAAACAGAAGAAAGAATCTCAGAGATTGAAGATAACACCTTCCAATTAAATAAATCAGTCACAGAGATAGAGCAGAGAAACAAGAGAAAGGAGCAAAGCCTACAAGAGATGTGGGATTATGTGAAGAAACCTAATGTGAGGGTCATAGGCTTACCAGAAGGGGAAGAAGACAACACTCAAGGGTTGGACAAGCTATTTGAAGATATAATAGAGGAAAATTTCCCAGGCCTTTCTAAAAATCTCGATATACAAGTTCAAGAAGCTCAGAGGACCCCTGGGAGATTCAATGAAACAGTAAGACATCATGACATGTAGTCATCAGACTGACCAAAATATCCACTAAAGAGGCCCTTCTAAGAGCTGTAAGATGAAAGAAGCAAGTAACATACAAGAGAAAGCCAATCTGAATAACACCAGATTTCTCTAATGAGACTTTACAAGCAAGGAGAGGTTGGGGCCCCATTCTCACTCTTCTGAAACAAAACAATGCCCAGCCTAGAATCTTATTCCCTGCAACACTAAGTTTTGTATATAAAGGAGAAGTCAAGACATTCTCAGATAAGCAAAGACTAAGGGAATTCACCAAAACAAGAACAGCCCTGCAAGAAGTACTCAAAACAGCATTACCCGAGGATCAGCACAATAAACACTCACGAATGTAAATCTACTCAAAGCTAAAGATCAAAGCCTAGATACGGCAATGGCTCAAGAGAGAAAACAAAGCAACAAAGTTCAACCCAACAGAATGAACAGAAATCTGCCTCACCTATCAGTTCTCTCAATAAATGTGAATGGCTTGAACTCCCCACTCAAGAGACATAGGAAGGCCGAATGGATAAAAAAACACAAGCCAAGTATCTGCTGCCTTCAGGAAACACATCTAACCTGCAAGGATGCATATAGACTAAAAGTAAAGGGGTGGAGAAAAATATTTCAAGCAAATTTAAATCAACAAAAGTAATAAAAGACAAAGAAGGAAAAGGGAACCTGTGGGACACAGCTAAAGCATTCCTGAAGAGGAAGTTTTATTTCCATAAATGCCTGTATCCAAAAATCAAAAAGATCACAAATAGACAACATAATGAATCATCTCAAAGAGCTGGAAAAAGAAGAGACAGACCAACCCCAAACCAGAAGAAGTGAATCATTAAGATCAAATCAGAGACTAAATAAAATAGCAACAGGAAAATATAGGGAAGATTAATAAAACAAAAGTTGGTTCTTTGAAAAAATAAACAAAATTGGCACACCATTGTCTAGACTAACGAAAAGCAGAAAAGGAAACTCTCTAATAAGCTCCATCAGGAACAATAAAGAATAAGTTACAACTGATGCCATGCAGATACAAGATATAATTTATGAATACTACAAAAAACTCTATGCATACTAACTAGAAAATGTGGAGGAAATGGACAATTTCTTAGAAACACACAGCCTTCCCAGGGTCAGCCAGGAAGAAATAGAATTCCTCAATAGACCAATATCAAGTACTGAAATTGAAACAGCAATGAAAAACATTCCTAAAAAGAAAAGTCCTGGACCAGATGGTTTCACACCCCAATTATACCACCTACAAAGAAGAATGGTGCCTATCCTGCAGAAATTATTCAACAACATCGAGAAGGATGGAATTCCCACTATTTTATGAAGCGAACATAACCCTGATACCAAAACCAGGAAAGAATGCAACAATAAAAGAAAACTACAGACCAAAATCGCTTATGAATATAGATGCAAAAATTCTCAACAAAATCCTAGCCAATCAAATCCAGGTGTTTGTCAAGAAAATAATTCATCACACCAAGTGGTTTCATCCCAAGGATGCGAGGGATGGTTCAACATACACAAACTATAAATATAATTCACCATATAAAACAGAAGCAAAAAACAAAGGCCATATATGATGACCCCTCTCCAATAGATGCAGAAAAAAGTTTGACAAAATTCAACACCCTTTTATGATAAGAACACTCAACAAAATAGGCATAGACGAGGCTCACCTAAAAATGATACGAGCCATATATGACAAACCCACAGCCAATATCATACTGAATGGGGAAAAATTGAAAACATTCCCACTTAGAACTGGAACAAGACAAGGTTGCCCACTATCTCCACTTCTGTTCAACATAGTGCTGGAAGTCCTCGCTACTGCAATCTGACAAGAGAGAGGAATTAAGGGCGTCCAAATGGGACCAGAAGAGATCAAACTCTCACTCTTTGCTGATAACATGATATTATACCTAGAAAACCCCAAGATTCAACAAGAGACTCCTTGAATTGATAAGATTGGTAAATCCTCAGGATACAAAACAATAAACAGAAATCAGAGGCATTCATATACGCGAACAACAGTAAAAGTGAGAACCAAATCAAAGACTCAATTCCCTTCAAATAGCAACAAAGAAAATAAGTACCTAGGATATATTTAAACTAAGAAAGTAAAGACCTCTACAGGAAGAACTATGAAACACTGAACGAAGGAATAGCAGAGGACGTAAACAGGTGGAAGAAACACATGCTCATGGGTCGGCAAAATCAACAATGTTAAAATGTCTATACTACCCAAAGTGACCTACAGAGTCAATGCAATCCATTAAAATACCACATCATTTTTCACAGATATAGAAAAATATGCACTTCGTATGAACAGAGAAGAACCGTATAGCAAATCAATCCTAGCAATAAAACAAAGGGGTATCAATTACCAGACTTCAAACTATACTACAAGGCTTATAGTCATTAACAGCTTGTGACTGGCACAAGAACAGACATTGACCAGTGGAACAGAACAGAGACCCATATATAAACCATCTCATTCCAACTAATCTAGAAGAGCAGACAAAAACATACACTGGGGAAGAGAATCCTTTATTCAATGAGTGCTGGAATATTGGGTAGCCACATGTATGAAAGACCACACTTTCACCTCTCACCCAAAAATCAACTCACTTTAGGTAACAGACTTGAACCTTAGGTGTGAAACTATTAGAATTCTTAGAGGAAAAGTTGGAAATACCTTCTAGACATTGCTTAGGCAAAGAATTATGAAGAAGACCCCAAAGGCAATCACAGCAGCAACAAAAGTAAATAAATGGGACCTGATCAAATGAAAAAGTTTCTGCACAGCCAAAGAACTGTCAAGAGAGCAAACAGACAACCCACAGAATGACAGAACATTTTTGCAAGCTACACATCTGATAAAGGGCTGATAACTAGAATCTATTTAGAGCCATGGTCAGCAAGAAAAAATCAAACATATCCAACAAAGTGGGCAAAGGACATCAACACAATTTTTCAAAAGAAGACTGAATAATGGTCAACAAACATATGAAAAACGCTCACATCTCTAATCTCAGGG